TATGCTGGACCGGTCCGTATTGCAGTAAAATAGTGGTTATTTTTTAATGAATTTGCAAACGCTGACTATTTTTGAATTACCAGTACGAAAACTGGCTAGCCCGTGCTATTTTTACTAATTCTTTTGTGAGTCTTGTTTATAAAATTAGCCACTTCTTATTGCCAGAGTAGCCACTTATACTGAGAAATAGAAGTAAACACTAATCTGCATTAAAATTTTAGGCCAATCTTCCGCGCAAAATACTTTTATGCGGTAAGTGGAGTAAAAAGTGAACATACTCTATTCGGTCTACTATAAGTGATCATTTTATCTTTGACACACCCATTAAGAAAATACGAACTTCTAGAGAAAAAAAATATTTTTACTAAATTAACCATAATTAATTGTTATCTTGACATATTGCAATATGTAAATAAGGATAAATTTTGAAAAAATAAAATTAATTCCTTCTTAATTATGTACATGAATACTTATTTTTGATTAAAATAAAAATATAAAATTATCACTTATTATGAATCGAATAAGAAAAATATTACTAGTAAATAAAAAAAGATAATGATCCACATGGGACCCAAAGGTGTGGAAGTAACCAAAACGGAGAGATGCATGATTTCCCATAATTTACTCCCTTAATTACATGAACCAAACGGAACTGCCCATCTGTCTAAACGTGTTGAGAGGAGAATGGTTAAAATGATAGCCTCCTTCCACATTCCCAAGCTTATATAGTAGCCAAAACATCAGACCCAACACTTCTCGTAGCCCATTTTTCACTTAGTAGCCACTAGCCAGGACTAGAAGATTTTCTAACAAAAGACTAGGAATCTTATTAACACCTTGTAGCCTACAGAAGTAGAATGTCATCGGAAAAAACAAAAACAAAGAACTTGTCGGAATCCGATGATTCCAGTCTCAGTTTCGAGGAAACTGAGCTCACTCTTGGGTTACGCCGAGATTCAGAAAGACAAATCTGTGGTGCGAAACGTGGACTCTCATCTGAAGCTGTTGAGTTGAGGCTAGGAAGCTCTACTTCCAGAAATCCTCACGATCAAAACTACGAAGATGATCATTATTGCAACAACGAAATCTCCATCGCAACCAAACCTTCGGCAAAGTAAGTCCCCTTATTAAAACATATATAAAGCTCAACTTCTATATGCTTATATTATTAACCACGTGTAATTAACCAGATTAGTAACCTGAAAAATAAAATTTTACACCGACATGTATAAGTTAATGCATAAGAAAAAAAAGGCTATTTCATTCTTATTTTTTAGTATTTTCTTTTTTGTTGGTTAATCACATAAGTTAAGGTGAATAGGTTAAGAAGTACTACGTCACCATAGTTGGTTGTATTTAGGGTTCAGGGTACTATTTTTTTTTCCCCAATTACATCAGAGAGGGGATGGAGAAAAGGAAATGAGTTGCTATGCTTATGATGGTGTTTGAACTCAGTAGCTTTGATCCAAATCATGTATTTATCTTAAGAAATTTATTAATTATGTACAAATTATTAATTTAGGAATTTAGTAACTTAAAAGATTTAGAATTTCGAACCCATAAATTTCATCCTAGTTCCGCCTTGTTCTTGGAAGACATGGAGCTCACCGAATGAGCTGGCCATATATAAACCCCTAGAATGATCGTATAAATCATAATTGTAGAGTTCTTTTTTTTTGGGGTATTTTTAGTGCACTAAAGTTTGACAAAATTTTGAAAAATAATATTAGGACACAAGTAATTGGATGGCCACCAGTGAGATCAAACAGGAAGAAGATAGGAGTAGTAAAGAAGTGCAAATACGTGAAGGTGGCAGTAGATGGAGCTCCCTACTTGAGAAAAGTTGACTTGGAGATGTACAGCAGCTATGACCAGCTGCTAATTGCTTTGGAACACATGTTTACTTGCCTAACAACAATCTGTAAGTATACAATATAATCTTTCATAGTTTCTTAACTTCTTTTAAAAGAGAGTAAAATAAACAGTGTCCTCTTTCGGTATAATCATGATGTTTGGCGTAATATTACTATGGATTTTTAGGTAACTTTGTAAATGAGAGGAAGCTTATGGACCCTATAAATGGTGTCGAATACTTGCCAACTTATGAAGACAAAGATGGGGATTGGATGCTAGTTGGAGACGTTCCATGGAAGTAAGTATGTTTTACATCAATTTCCCTCTTCATGTCCACCTAAAAATATTTATAAATAACTGTTCGTAATAAGTGAAATTGATAACTTAGAAAATAAGGGGAAGCAACTCCAGTACAAAAATTCTCGCGTATTTATAAGCATCATGCATACTGAGGTCCTTTTCTCTAATTAAATGCCAAATTGATATAGTATAGTGCCTTAAATTGTACTGTAAATAAATTTAAATCCTGTTTGTTATTATAGACGTGGGGTTTCTTTTAAATGTCTATATTAGTAACATTTCTTTTATGATCTTTTTTCTGTTGCCAGAATGTTTGTTGAATCTTGCAAGAGGCTCAGGTTGATGAGGAGCTCGGAGGCCATTGGATTAGGTACATTTAATTTATCTTTCTTCTCAATTTGTTATTCCTGCTTCATATAAAAGTTGCGAAATTAGCTTTATTCTCAGATGCCATAGTAATTTACTAAGTGGACGAATTATTTTGTTAATGGTGTGTACTGCAGCTCCAAGGACTAACGTATTAATGGCGAAATGCTCGAGTACAAGTTGATTGAAGAAGTTTTCTCATCTTGGCCTGGGTAGAGGCAGATCCACGATTTTGGAAAAAATGGGTGCACTAAGAGAAGGATCTAGAATATTAATGGCGAAATGCTTGCTTTTGGAATTATAAGTTTAAAATTAATTTTTTTAAATAGTAATTTTCTTATATAATTATATCTATACTCTGTGTCAAAAATGTTGGGATAAGTAAAATCCATTGACTATATATTACATCATCAATTGATAGTAGTTTAATATATATATATATATATATATATATATATAT